TTTTTTTTTTTTTGCACATAGAGAAAAGTTTCATATAATTCTGTCAAATAAATAAGTATACTAAGTTGTATTTATACTAATTTGAAAACAAAGAGTTTGGGGGAAAACTAACTTTGCCAGAAACCAAATTCAAATCCCTGTGAACTACTGTAATGAAGTGCAATGTTGAATATTATAGCAATACAAGTATATCAGCTCCAGACTTGGACCTTCATAAACTGCTGCAATTCATATAGAATATGGAAATAATTCTTCTTCTGCAAGTGCTTGCAAGCTGCAATCAGGTAAATGCCCCAGCTGTCTAGGCCTGGATCAATGGTCTCCAGCAAGTTCTCCAGCATGTGAAGCTTTCCACTTTTATAGCTTGGGACAAAGATCCCTTCAATGAACACTTCCTGTGGGCTCTCCTAGAACAGCGGGGAGAGGAAAAAAAGATACATTTAGAGAGTTGCATACTATACATAGGGACACAGTGAAACGAATAAAGCTTTACCTATGACAATATCCAGAGGTTTGCCCCTTTTGCTGCTAGTATCTGGGGAAAGCATATAGATGGACAGAAACAAATTGCTCCACCAAGGTAATGCAAGGGATTCTACAGCTACGGGTCAGCGTTTTATACTGGACTAGTCCTTAGAGATGCTCCGCACGCAGCCTGCTGACCACATACATGCTTGCAAGGCAGCAGGCATAACAAGCTGCATGACTCACCTTGTTTAACAAGTGCAGTAGTGCTTCCCGCATGCAGCCATGCCTCATATAAAAACTAATGATTGCTAGATTGGTGCCATAATTGTGTAAATAAAAGAGGCACTCTTGATAGTAGCTGTTATGCTGGATCTTCCCCTCAGGTATCATATCCAGACACAGGCTTCGTGTCCTCAGCACTGTTTCCAGTTCCCTCAATGTGGCAAAGTAGTCATCATCCTGCTATTAAGGCAGACAAGAAAAGGCAGACAAGAAGAGAGTGCTATCTAGAAACGAAGGAGACAGACTATCCTTCACAGCCCAGTTTCTAATATATGGGCAACATCCACCATCAAATAAGCCCCCAGGCTCTCAAGTGTGGTGTAAATGAACACAGGCAAGGAAAGCGTTGAACTGCAAAATTTCAAGTTTCAATTTGGTACCGAGCTGGGTCTATACTATAGCAATGCATAGTGCATGATATTGTCACTATCACGTTAAATTAATGGCAGCAACGGTGCTATTTACAAGTAGCAGGTTACAACTACTATCCAGATATTGTGGGATGTTTACAGAAGCTCTGTAGGTGAATGTACAGCAAGCACTGCAGCAGGTTGGTCAATAAAGAAATTGGGATTTTTACAGCTCGTTTGAAAAGCCATCTGTTTTTGTGTCAGGATTCAACAGGGCTGCAGCAGACCAGGAGCTTGTTCAAATATTACATGCCTGAGTACATTCAGACTGGCATTTTACTCCATATCAAAATCATATTTATTCCAATGTCTTCCATCTCTTTACTATAGCT